ACACACACACACACACACACACACACACACACACACACACACACATACACTACTCTTGCAGAAGAACCAAGTTCAATTTCTAGCACCCATGTTAGATGGCTCAAAACCACCAGTAACTCAAGTTCAGGGGATCTGACACCCTCTGTTCACTACAGTCATCTGTATTCACATGAGCAAACCCACACACAACCACTTCATATAAGCTAAAAAGGAGTATTTACATATGTTAGAAAGAATACAAATTCTTTTAAATGGAAATGCTATACTTGGAGATAAGGACTAGAAAGGATGACACAATATGTGAGAATAGAGTTGAAAAAGACACATGTTAAAAAGACTGGTAAGGTATATATTATTATTTTTTCTTTTTTTATATTAATTAGTTTATCCACTTTGTACCCCAGCTGCAGCCCCCTCCCTTATTCCCTACCAATCCCTCTCTAACTCCCTCTTCTCCTCCCATGCCCCTCCCCAAGGCCACTGATAGGGGAGGTCCTCCTCCCCTTCCAACTGACCTTAGCCTATCAGGTCTCATCAGAACTAGCTGCATTGTCTTCCACAGAAGACTGCTCCTTCCCCTCAGGGGGAGGCAATCAAAGAGCCAGCCACTGAGTTCATGTCAGAGACAGTCCCTGTTCCTCTTACTAGGTAACCCACTTGGATACTGAGTAAGATATATTTTATATTGGTAGTATGTAGTGCAGAAGAGACTATTTCCATGATTCTCATTTTGTTTTCTTTTTTTGGCTTATAGTCTTGATATATATATATATATATATATATATATATATATATATATATATATAATATATATATATATATATATAACAGTAACAACAAGCATTATTTTTAGTACCTCATTTCCTGATTCTAGTGGTCTCTTCTTCCGTGGTCCAATAGCTGCAAGAGCTGTGAGATTAGCATCTCTGTATTGGATCTGGGCAAGCTCCAACTGCTGCAACTAGATGATGGGATAGAAAAAGTCAGTGTTTACACAGATGCTTAGAGAGAGAAAATGATCACAAAACCAGTTTCTGTATTTATTCCCAAATAAAATTATAGAATAAAATAAATATTGACATCCTTGCAGTTAAGAGCACATTCCTGATATCTTAACTCCACTAACTCCTACCCTTAATCTTTACAAAGAAGAAACAGAGCTCAGGGAAGAGGGAGTCTAGACAGAAGAAGAAAAAGCATCTAATGCCAAAATTTCTCCCAGTTTAAACAGGTAAAACATGCCTGCAGAAAAAGCTGACCAGCAACTTGGGAAGAGATTGGTCAGGCTACAGTCATCCTTTTCCAATTAAAAAGAAATCAGCAGTGTATGTATATTACAGAGCACAGTGTTCACATGCTATATGACTTACAACTTACTCTTAACTCTCACAACCACACTGAAAGGGTATTCACTGATTGCTCAGACAGAAAAAAAAAAAAAAATTGCACAGTGAGGATCTAACAGAGTAGAGCAATTCCATACAAGCCATCCAAAGAAGTGGTAGAACCAGTTATCAGAGACCAATGTTGTCACTACAAACATTTGCAAATAAGACTCTGTAATGGCTGAAAATACAAGGTAAAAGGTACAATTTTAATACCATGGCAGAAGCCCCTCAGCTTTTCTAAAAGAAAAAAAAACCAAACAAACAAAGAAAAACAAGTTTAATTCTCATGAAAATCTCACTGCTGTGCAAGGCAAAAAAGTTCTTGAGGATCAAGAACTATAAGAAACTATGAGAAACTTTCACTGGGAATATTCTTTTAAAAACAAAACAGTAACCAATGTTCAAATATGTTATAAAAGAAGATGAGGGCGAGAGAGGAGCAAGGGACCATCTTTGAGGAATGGGTCCTCATCACATACCAAACCAGCTTTCCCCTTCATCTTAAATTTCCTAATTTCCAAAAACAGTGGAAAATAAAAACCTGTTGAATATAAGACATTCCCTAAGGGGTTTTTGATATAGCAGCATAAATATATTAAGATAACCATTAATCAGAGTAAGTAAACTAAGAATTATATTCTATTTGATCCAAAATTACAGGAGAGAAATCCTTTTAAGCTGTAGGCTTTCTTATAAATAAATTGTTAGATAAGGGATTTCAGAAGTTATAAAATCTTTTGTTGCTGCTGGCCTTTTTAATAAAAATTATAGTCAAGGGTCTGATGGTGCCATAATCTAGAACTTCTATGTAAAATCAAACAAACAAACAAAAAAAACTGGCTTAAGCTAATCTACCCTACAGCAAGAATCAAATAATATATTTTATAGGCCTTTAACAGATACATGGCATCTTCAAGTTAGTCATACCAAATAAGGTCCACCCTTGCAAGAAAGGTTTTTAAACTGACCATATAAATAACTCTACCTTTACATGCTTTAGAAAACTTTCTAAAACAAAACAAACAAAATCACCTGGAAACTGACCATAGTTTTAGGTGGTTCTATAGTCATAACATGCTCTCAAAAATAATGCAGTTTAACCAGCACAAAGCAAAGAAATCAGACACAACAAGAGGAAGCTCTGGCATTAATATAGATTTGGCATAACTAGAGCTGAAGATGATGCCAACACGAAGCTCAGAAAAAAAATTCAAGAGGACTGCATGATTATCTATGCAGAAAAGCTAATTATCTAAGAAAAACATCATCAACAACAACAATGCCCTGCCCTTCACCCCACAAATCTAGCTGGCAGGGAAGATTGCTCAAAGAGGTGGGTAGGATGCTTGCTACTGAACCTGATGACCTGAGGTTTGATCTTTAGGACCCACGTGGTAGAAAAGAGGACCACCTTCTCAAGTTATCTTCTGTCCTCTACATATATATGTGCTGAGAGTATGTATACACACACATGCTCATATACAAATAAATGCAAGACAAAAAAATTTTTTAAATCACTGTAGTATTAATGAATGCATTTAACAAAACTGAAAAATGCAAAATTGCTACAAACAATAATAATCATCTAACCAAATATCAAGAACAGGTGGAAACAGATATTGAAATGAAATACTGAAGAATAAATTACATGCAGCCATCTGTATGCTTCAGCCACAAAATAATCATACAAGAAAAACAAAAGAGACATACTGCTGTGCAAGGCATGAATTGCTAAATTGAACTTGATAAAGATTTTGAAAGCTGAGGACATGGCTCAGTGGCAGAGCACCTATCTAGGATGTGTGAGGCCCTGGGTTTAATCCCTAGAACCCAACTCCCCTGCCTTATACATAAAAAGGACTTTTTGCAAATTGACCCTAGGATCTAACATAATTCCAGTATGTATTCCTGGTGAATAGAAACAAATTGATTTTAAGGTTTATATGAGAATAGAGTTGTAATTCATGGAGGGTACTTGCTTAGCAGAAAGTAACTACTCAACACTGCAAAAGTAAATGCAGGTATGATCCTCACCAGGACTAAAAGTAACAGAGCCTGGAGATCTCCTAGAAGGTAGGTGCTAAAATGACCACAAAGAATCAGAACTCCTATATCAAGACTTTGAGTATCACACACAAAATCTCTCCTTACCACCTGACTGTCTAACATGTCTATTCAAGAAATGGAAAACAAAAACAAACAAACAAAAGGCAGAATTAAACAGTGGCTCACACCTTCACTACCTTTAAAACTTAGCAGGTGTGGGCTAGAGAGATGGCTCAGAGGTTAGAGCACTGGCTGTTCTTCCAAAGGTCCTGAATTCAATTCCCAACAACCACATGGTGGCTCCTAAAACTTAGGGGGCAGAGGTAGGCATATCTCTTAGTTTGAGGCCAGCCTGGCCTACAGAGTGAGTTCCAGGACAACTAGGGCTCCTCAGAGAAACCCTGTCAGGAAGGAAGGAAAGGAAGGGAAGGAGGGAAGAAAGGAGGGAAAGGAGGGAGGGAGGTAGGAAAAGGAGGGAGGGAGGAAGGAAAGAAAACATGCAATCTGAAACTAAACTTCAAATTTTATACAAAATTAACTCAAGGTGCAGAAGCATAAATTATAAAAATCATAGAGAAAATCTTTACAAGTTGGGAGTCTAGCAAAGACTTCTTAAATATGGCATATCTAGTCATAGAAGCACTGACAAACTGGTCCCACAAATTAAAATCTTCTGGTCTGTGACAGATACAGTTAAGGAAATCAAAGACTTGCTTTATGTCAACTGAACAAAAGCTAGAGTCATTTTGGAAGACAAACCTCTCAGCTGAAAGCATGCTCCCAACAGACTGGCCTGTGGTCCATTTCCTTAATTGATGGTTGATGTGGAGTGCCCAACTCACTATAAGTGGTGCCATCCCTGGGTGGTGGTCCTGAGTGCAGGCTGAACTAGCCAGAAAGAGCAAGTCAGTATATTGCAATCCTCCACAGTCTCTGTTTGAGTTCTTATCTCCAATTCCCTTCAAAATGGACCATGATTGAGATGATAAGTGTAAACAAACCCTTTCTTCCCCAAGCTGCTGCTTATGGTCCTGGTCTTAATCACAGCAATTTAAAAAATAAATTGATACTAGGTCATGAGGTACTGCTATGACAGGTGTGAGCATGTGTTATGAGGAAGATTGTGCAAGGAATTTGGAACTGCGGTCCAGAAAGCCAATGAAAACACAATGCAAAATGAGCTATGGTGGGAGCTTTGAAGATAAGAATGCAGAGAACAATGCAGATGATGGAGGCCTAGCTTGTCAAGTTTTAAAGGAAGCAAAGACCACTTCTGAAATCATTTATATGACATTCAAAATTTAATCTGTAGTTCTGGTTAGCTGGGGCTGTAGAATCGGCTATAATTAACAAGAGATCAGCAACACTGAAGTGAAATCTTTGCTTTACTGGGGCAATTGATGTTGACATGTTGGAGCTGAGAACTTAAGTAGTGATTAAGAAGAGACTAGTACCACTGAAGATTGTAAATCTGGGAGTATCTACTGAGGGTCAGCACAGGTAGACTATGGTCCATTGAGGGCTGAAGCTGCTTATGATGGTAGCTAAACCTGATATTGTGTAAGAATCATGATGGGCCAGGCATAGTGGCACACACACTAATCCCAGAACTCAGGAAGCAGAGTCAGGTGGATCTCTGTTAAGTGCAAGTCCAGCCTCAAAGAGGTCTACACAGAAAGTTCCAGGGCTACATAAGGAGACTGTTGCAAACAAACAGAAGAAAACAAAACAATGCCCTCCCAGTTGTAGTGATGTACATGTTTAATTCCAGAATTTGGGAGGCAGAGGCAGGAGGATCTCTATGGAATCAGCCAGGGCTAAATAGTGAGGATAGATAGATAGATAGATAGATAGATAGATAGATAGATAGATAGAT